AAAAAAAAAAAAAAAAAAAAAAAAAAAAAAAAAAAAAAAAAAAAAAACGCTATAAAAAAAGCAAGAAGAAAATGCCGTGCTCGACGAAAGCAAAAGCAGGTCAACAAACAAGATCACTATCTATGACTCTCGAGGTCCTCGTATTGGAAATTAAAAGACGGAAGATCTCTGCCTCCGCCCAGGTGCAACCGAGCTCCCAAAATCTGGGGGTACCGTCGCCAGCATGAGATCTGTGTGCGATCAGCCCCGGGGATGGGTGGCCTGTTGAGTGGAGTGAAGGTTTTGCCTCATTTCTTATTTCGTTGCCCAGCCTATGAGATCCGGTCGAATCGATACAGGTCCGAAAGTCAATTTTTGGATTTATTGGTCTCGACTGATCGATAGAGCAGAGAGCTCCGTATTGTGCGTATTCGCACCGCGCATGGAATCCGGCCGTGGAACGTAAAACGGTACGATACTACGACCGAACAGAAAGGCAAAAGGGCAATCGCGCCCAGAGGCGAGAGAAGCAAAAGTGTACACCGTCAGTCCCCATACCTATGCTGCCCGCTGCCGGGGCCCGTCCAATGCCATCCACGCCAAGCCAGAATACCGTCTCTCAGCTGGATCGCCATCGAAATGTACGGATCCACGAGCAACGACCGGGTGCCATCGCGATCACCACTCTCCCACAACCAGTCCCCCGCGTGGAGACACGCCCGCAAGGGAACCGTACTCTTGGCACTGGTCAACAGCTCCTTGGGTTCGTCCCGGAGACGACGATACACGCCATACCTACCGCCGCGGGACATGTCTTCCTGGAGCGGCTCAATTCTGCTGGCGGGAGAGATGTCGATGTGACCCATCCAGCCGTGCACCGCGTCCGGAGTGGGAGTGGGCAGACGGAAGGGTGGACGATCGTGTTGCCAACGGATGGCGAGTCTGAGCGGTGGCGACGAGATGCTCGGTCGCGAGAACGGTCGCGGGAGCGGGAGCGGGAATGAGAGCCGGAACGAGCGCGGGATCTTTGATCTCGACTTTAATACCGGACGATGATTGAATGGTGAGTGAAGGCTGGAGCCGGAGTGGTGGGCCGAGCTGGAGCAGCTATGGTGTTGATGGCTGTGATCGCAATGGCTGCTGTAGCTGCTGTCCTCTTGGCATTGGTTGACGACGACGGGATGATAGTGTGGTTGGTCATGTCGGCATGATGCTGCCGGGAAAGAGAGGAAGTTTGGGAGTGGCGGCGCTGCGGAATACCCTCCGATCCTCCGGCGTTGAGCCCTGGGAGGGGTCCTTGGAGGGGAAAGGGTGAGAGGAGACTCATGCGCGGGTTCTGTCTGAATGGCATCTGGAAGGATGTCAATTGCTGATGTTTGCGAGCTGTTAAGTTGAAGAGCCCCAACTATGTTTGATGGACTTGGAAGATGTTACTGGAAAATAGGCGAGGGGCTGATGGGCTATGTATATATACATACACACATACATACATATATACATAGGGACGTCTCTGCCTGCTCGAGTAACACGCCGACGAGGCGGACAAACATTCGATTCGTGGCGGGCTTGAGATCAGCCGGCACGCGGGATCTGCAACGCGATTTCTTCTTCGTTTCCCGATTCCTGGACGTAGGACAAAGCCTGCACCCTGCCGGGCGTGGAAGCGCATAAGATGTGTCGAGAGGGCGAATCCGATGGTGCACAATGCGGATAACATGCCGCTCTTCCCCCCAGAGTAGCAACCTGCTCTTGTGGGAGATCCATGCCTGTCTCTGCATCTCGCTGCGCCGCTTTCCGAGGGAAAGGGGATCCTTCGTGGAAGCGTGACGGATGCGTCCGGAACGCGCAAGCTGGCCGGCCTCGTCGGCATCGGTCACTACACTGGACAGGTAACGCTGCGCAATGTTCTACGATTCAGTGAGATGACAGCCAGCGTTCTGGCACCCTTGTCTGGTTTGATCTGTATGCAACGTCAAGCATGATAGTAAAAAGCCATGCGAAGGTTGGAAGCAGTATCACGTCTGCGTTGTTTGACCTCCGAGCATCATTGGCCCGAATAGAAAGAAACTGGCAGCCGAATGCCACTCGAGATACCGAAGGACCGAGAATAGACTACGGCAGGTATAGATGCGTTGTTTGGCTGGAACATGGTCGCCGGAGGGATCTGAGGGTGTTCGCACTCAGTCTTGGTGGAGAGAGGGAGCGGAGCAAAGGAGAGTGCCCTCTATGAATTTCGCCAATGGGATTTCTATGCGGCTCGTTCGCCTGTGCTCACAGCTATCTCAGTCTGTAAGATGACAGACGAGGTGGCAAGGCAAATCTTGGGGTAAAAAGTGAGTGCTGGTGGATGACCTTCTCCATCTCGTTGCATCGCAGGTGGCTGGTCAGAGCGGTAGCCGGTACACACTGAGAACATTGATTGAACCAATGATGGCAAGAGAGAGAGGCCCAAGAGTGAAAAGTCATGGGACGCAGGTATAGCATGGATTCTGGCCACATCTTGGTTATAGTCGTCTAAAATGGGTAGTCAATACTGGCACAGCCGTGAGCTTATCATGATCATCACGTCTATCGTTTGGGCAAGCACCAAAGGGACATAGCACTGTAAATTGATAAAATTGGGCAGCGGAAGCCTATGGTTGATCTTGCTATCCAGCTTGCCATAGTGGCCAGTTTTACAGACAGGACGCCCGGGCAAACAAAACAGAGGTGTAACATGGAGGCCAGAAATAGAGAAGCATAAAGAAATTGTACCAGACAACGTTTTCCTCTCATGATACAAAGAAAGAAGAAGATGATGATTGAAGATTGATAGCTGCCCAGTGTTCCAAAGCCTGATGTTGTACCACCACCGTAACACCGTGATTTCGTGAAGTCATGCTTTCGCTCCTACGCAGGCTGCAAGCTTGCGACCCACCACCGGAGCGCTGGAAAGCTTCGTGTAGTCTGCGTAGTACGGTAAGCAGAGAAACCGAAAAGAAAAACAAAAGGGAAAAGAGAGAAAGAAAAAGACAGAGAGGCGAGAGAAAATGACACAGCGGCGTGTTGGTTGTGGTGCCAAAGCTTGCTGAGCGCGAGCTTACCAGCCACAGAGGCAAAAGATCAAGATCACCAAGTCGACAGCGTCAACAAAGGAAGCGAGGCCAAGCGAAGAAATGAAATAAACGAGGGCGAGGGTAGTGGCCAAAGCCCAGGCCAAGGCCAGGGAAAAGGAGGAAGAGGTCGAGAGCAGGGCAGGGCAGGCAGGAGCGAGCCGTCCCGAAAATAAACATAAAAATGGGTGAAGTGTCCTCAGCCACTCCTTCCGGCCGAGATCGGCTTAGCGCTTCTTCGGCAGGATTGGATTTTATTTCACGTTACTGAGCAGCAGAGCCTCACGAGAGCTTCCGATCCGTTGCCTCCTCTGCAAAGTTCGCGACCACATCAATCAATCCACGACCTTCTTCTCAGTCGTAACCACCACCATTTATCTATCTGGACACCTCACACCACACACCTCACTCAGTCCTCCCGGCATCGATTTGTTTTCGCCTTCACCATGGCGCTCAGCCCTCAAATGTACGGATGCCCCTCACAGCAATGAAAGGCGATTTTGCGATGCGATGCGACGCAATGCGGAGCAACGCAAAGCTCACATCTCACCATTCGCAGCATCTATCATTGGGATTGAATACTAACTGGATCGTCCAGTACCAACTTGGTCATCATCCTCGTGATGATGCAAGTCTCCAAGAAGATCCCCATGGAGGATCCCACCGTGCTGAACCTGATCCGCACCTGCTACGTCGTTTCGAACATCATCATCATCTCTGTCTACGCCTACGTGCATCTGCAGATCAACAAGAAGAAGGGTAGGCACTGCATTGCTCCGGATATGGACGCTCTCGTGCAGCAGGATGAGTGTTGTCTTGGGGCACCAAATACTAACTCAACCTCTCTCCAGACATGACCACCCTCAAGTACGTCGAGCAGCCCCAGATGGGATCCAGCGAGGAGCCCAAGCTCATCACCACCACCGTCCACGCCTATGATCTCGCGCAGATGAAGGCTCTCTACAAGGCGCAACTCATGGGTGTTGGCATGATGTGCGTGATGCACCTGTATTTCAAGTACACCAACCCCCTGGTCATCCAATCCATGATCCCCCTCAAGGGCGCATTCGAGGGCAACATGGTCAAGATCCACTTGTTCGGACTACCCGCTTCGGGCGATCTGAAGCGGCCTTTCAAGGCCCCCGCCGGGTTGATGTCTGGTCTGCAAGGAGGTGCGGCTCAGGCACAGGACAAGAAGTCGATTGCCGCTGCGGAGAAGGCTGGTCGGGGAGGCGTGAAGGATGAATAGATGGAGGTAGACTAGGCCTCCCGAGGCTCTCGAGATGTATGTATATGACTGGCTTGGGGCCATTGGAAACCGGATGCGGGTGGAGGGGGGGCGCTTTGCAACTCTGTGGGGTGTAAAAATTCGGAGCAGCGACCCGAGAGCGTGTACTTTACCCATGGCAATTTCATTTTAAGGCGTACAATTTGAACACGCCAGAGGCATGAGTGATAACAATCAAGAGGCAGAATCTCTCATCATAGCGTGACTCTTGGTCACGAGGCAGGCAGTATGACTCTGAAATAGCATGTACGAAGTAGTGACCAAGTAAAGTCACGAAGAGGTAATGAATGACGAAGTAAAGTCACGAAGTAATAGATAATGTCCACGAAAATCTTCTATTTCGATACAACATAACCTTCTATAGCAGCCTGATATTTGCGAAGGTGGAACACCCAAGACGGAGCCCGAGGCTTCTCTCGTTGCTAGACCTCTTTTGAGAACTACATAGCGCCGCGTCTGCTTTTCGTCTTTCTTTTCGTCTTTCTTTTCGTCTTTCTGTTGATCCTCAAAGGACACAGTTAAGGGTGTTCCAAAGAAGGAACAAGCAAAGTCGTCCCGATTTTTTAAACTTTGCTCAAGTCCCTTTCAAAAGGGGTCGAGAAAAATAAGAATAGTTCCTCTTTTTTCGTGGCACACAACAACTCCATTGTATAAACAATTACAAAAGAACAACATGCTGGATAGCCGCTCAATATAGTCCCTCCCTCATCCTCTTCTCGTACATTTGCAGACCATATTTTGTTGATGCCTGACGAATCTGGCCTACTTAAAATTTGTGAACGCGACCCGGCCCAAGCTTAACCCGACCTCTACGGAGTTAAACAACACCGCATCTCGAATCTCGCGACGCTCACACCAGACTTCACTTACTTACCGGTCAATCCAATTCGCAGCCTCCGACGACTTGACTTGAAGCTAGGCGTTTCAAAGCTGTCGACTCCCGCTCCAAACGATTCCGCTGCTCGGGAACCTGCGAGCCATGACCAATTGAGCCTCGGCCACCTAGACCGGATCTACCCTGCTTGTCGCTCAGAGGGGGAACCTGCGCCAGATGCCCTCCCGCGTCGTCGATAGCTGCGCCTACAGAGCGTGAGGTGACGGACGATACGTGACGAAAACATGGCCTGGCAATCGATGGGCGTGAATGGCGGCGGCGGCGATGGCGCCCAGCAGGCACATCAACCGCAAGGCACGGAATACACTCTCCAAGGTACCTACCTACTTACCTATGCAGCGCGCTCCATGCGGGCCTTCCTCTACAATGCTAACTCGGGCAGGCGTGATGCGATTTCTACAGACAGAGGTCCGTAACCTGCGCAATGCAATCGGTGGCTACATATGGCTTGGGATGCTCTAGCGGCCCCAACCCCAGAATCCACCGCCTCTTCCTTGCCTGTCCCTCGCAATATTCAACCGCTCCCGTGTACTGACCTTTGCATAGTGGCACCGACATGAGAGGGATCGTAATGGCTGGGAAATCGAGAGGCAGGAGATGAAAGGGCGGATAGCGAGGCTCGAGGGCAGCACGCGGAAGAGCGACGCCAGCAACAAGAGCCTGAAGAAGTACATCAACATGTTGGAGAAGGCGCTGAAGGAACGAGATGCCCAAGTCAAGGCCCTGAAAGCCGGCGCAAACGTACAGGGCGAAGACTCTACACGCGATGGCAAGGAGAAGGAGGACTTGGCGGTCAAAGGGGATAGGCGTAGGTCCCTCCCCCAATTTGAGAACTTCGGCGCTGATCAAGCAAAAACAGCACAAGAAAGACCCCACAACTCGTTCTTAGATACGGAGGCAGAGGGCGAGAAGGGAGACGAGGATCCGGACCGAGATAGTCTCAAGGGTTTCATGGACAAGACACAAGGAGAGCTCACATATCTGATGGTTTCGCCATCCAACCCCCTTCCCCCAAGAGAACCTTCACCCCCCGATGAAATGCTGCTACACCGTTCCTACGGTCCCGGACAAGGCCAGCAAAGTCTGGAGGAGATATACCAGCAGCAAGCGGGGCAGAAACACATGCGAGAGTCGAGTCTTTCCAGACCCTCTCCTACGCCCAACCACCAACCGCCTCCACTGCCAACCACGAACCTAGCGATCAGGAACCAAGAGCCCCCATCTTCGCGATCATTGGCAGATCAGCAACCGCTACCCACAAGCTCACCGCAAGAGTGGTCCTCGAATTTCCAGATGCCGGAGCAACCTGCGGAGGAGCAGGTCACCCACGTCAACCATAGCTTTGATTCGTATGGTCGCGAGATTAATGCCGAGGAGACGGGGAAGAAGTCGCAAACAGAGGCAGATGGGTGGGATTTCAACGAGGCGGCACAATTTCCAGAGCCAGAGCCGAAACCGACCCCTCAACGCCCCGACACGGAGTTATTCCCCGCTGCCCAAGACCCGCCCAAATCTCCAAATCGTGGACAAGGATCGCACCGGAGGCAGGGGTCCATGTCGCGGCGCCGAAGTGCAGAGCATGAATTATCACTCCACCCGGCGCAAAAAGTTGACGGGGGGAGCTTCAAGGTGAGATTTGGACTGAGGGGACATCTGGACGCGGTTCGGACTGTGATTTTTACTGGGGGTGGAAGTCCTGCGGAACCTGAGATCTGTACCGCTGGTGATGATGGCACGATCAAGAGGTGGATTATACCAGCTCGCTACGATATTCAGGGAGGTATGCATCACGCGACAAATGACCTTGACATACAGAGCTACTTCACCCACCGCGGTCATACGGGAACGGTCATGTCTGTGACTGCTTGGTCCCCATCCCAAAACTTCTCCAGTGGGGGTCGAGCTCAGGGTGACGGGTGGATAATTTCCGGAGGACAGGACGCTACTGTAAGAGTATGGGAGAGAGGACGGGTTGATCCTAAGGCTACCCTCGATGGCCATACGGATGCAGTCTGGACCGTTTGTGTGCTACCAGGAAGCACGGGATCGATCTTTGGCCCCAGCAACTCTTTCGGTGGCCCCGATCGTATCATTCTGGCGTCAGGGAGCGCGGACGGAACCGTGAAGGTCTGGTCTGTTAGTACGCCACCACTGATGATGTCTCCATCGGCTCAAGGAGGAAGTGGACGAAGAGGTGGTCGTCAACGTGGAAATTCGACGTCCTCCGGATCAGCTTTCCCATCCTCCCCCCAGCCGAGCGTCGCATCCAACTCTCCATTCCATTATACCCTCATCCACTCCATCTCTCGGGCCAACAGCACCGCCTCACCGACCTGCATCACACCGCTCTCGCCGTCGGGAGATTCGTTTGTAGTGGCGTATTCGGACGCAGCTGTCTTGGTTTACGACACCCGCACCGGCGAAGAGGTGGCGGCAATGGCCAGCCTCGAGACGTACGATCCTACATTCCCCTCCGGCGTAAACGCAATCGTCGCAACAACCAACGGGCTTGACAGCTCGCTGACGTTCGATTCCAGCCGTGGCCTCTCGGAAGACGAAGGTGTCGTTGCAGGAGCCACTGGATCTAGCAGTGGTGTGGAAGGGACCATCATCTCTGGCCACGAAGACCGATTCATTCGTTTCTACGACGCCAACAGCGGTAAGCAGCACCCCCATTCCTCTCCTGGTGTCCGATCTGACGATGGAACGACAGGACAATGCACGTACAACATGCTAGCACATCCCGCTGCTATTTCCTCGCTGTCACTCTCCCCTGATGGAAGAGAATTGGTATCTGCAGGCCACGACGCGAGTTTGAGGTTCTGGAGTATGGAGAAGAGGAGCTGTGTCCAGGAAATCACCAGCCACCGCTTGATGCGCGGGGAAGGCGTGTGCGCAGTGAGCTGGAGTAGGGATGGGCGGTGGGTCGTCAGCGCGGGCGGGGATGGTGTGGTGAAGGTCTTTGCGAGATGAAATGTTGTGGAAATGGAAAAATACCCGGCCCCGTTCTGTTTGCTGTACTTTAATATGTTATTGAGCCCTTAGCTTCTAGGAAGGGAGGATGGCGAGATGGGGGTGAGATGGGGGTGAGATGGGGGGGTGAGAGAGGGAGTGGAAGGAAAGGGGAAGGAAATGATAGAGAGAGAGAGAGAGAGAGAAAGATGATCAGAGAGAGAGAGCAATTGTGTTTCAGAAGTGATCTGAGAAGAGGATTAATGATATGGAGATGAAGATGAACATGAAGCAGAAGCTTTGTAGTTTCTATGTAGTGTAGACTAGACGCCGACGACGCTCAGCGCTTTACTTTACTTTACTTTACTTGCTCGACCTCCTCGACCTATCCAACTACTATCCAGCTACCCATCTAGCTAGCTAATTGTACTATTCTAATATCTAGAGCTTGTACTACTTCCACAGGGGAATTGATAATGGTGGTGATGGTGATGTATGTTTATATGTTTATATGTTTGTATATGATAAAATGAGGAAAGGAAGAGGGAGAACCGTTTTTTTTTTTTTGTTTTTTTTTTAGAAAAAAAAAATGAAAAGGTAAAAGGTAAAAGGTGAAAGGTGCAGTCAAATTCATTTGAACAGGGAATGTGAGGCATGAGAATTGATAGAGAGCGTATATTTCATGGCGTTTCTTCTTTCTGCAATTTTCAAGATAGAGCTAGGCTAGGGAATTGCCTGCTTGGGATAGACAGAGTGCTATTGATGCCTCTGTTTTTATCGTGGCTCTTTTGGCAATGTGCCCTATTTAGATAGATATATGGTTTCTTGGCCAATATTTTTCAAGTCTGCGGATTGCGAAATGTCTGCTTCCGTAGCGTTTTGTTTTGACGATGTTTTAGAAGAGGTGACTGTCCCCGCTGTTGCCAATGGCAGACTTACATGAGTATATCCAGGTGGAGTGACTGAGCTGTATCCTCAGACAATTCATCCTGGAGTAGGGTTTGGGTCTTCGGCTTCAAGTTCCCCTGGACACCATTAATAGATTTCATGACGGGATCAAGGTCGGTAGCAGACAGTGGCGGAATTGACGATCAGTTTTCCGAGGTTTCGATATATGCAGCAGTACGGTTAATCATCATCACCCGACATCACTACTGTCTTCTCTCAATTCGCCATACAGAACCTCGCACACCCCTCCCAACGGCACATCCATCACAGCATCTGTCCCCTGACTCCAAAGCTCCCTCCAGTCCTTTATCGTCTTCTCCCCCCTCGGGTCCCTCTCCCTCCGCTCCTTGGCCTTATCCCTGCCGCCGCCAGCATTACTGGCAGCCTGTCTCCCCCGCCCGTCAATGGTTGCCACGTTGGCGGCATCATCAATGATCGTCTCGATACTGCTCATGGGCAGCGTGAGGTAGCCCGTATTGTAGCTCGCCAGCGCCACGTAGATGTAGACCAGCAGCATCACCAGGAACGACGGCAGAGCCAGCGACCACCACCGGTTGGGGTAGTAGTAGATGCCCAGGGCGTGCAGGAACGGCGAGGGCAGGTAGGACCACAGCAGGTACATCAGGAACGTCAGGGACGAGAACAGGTAGAGCACGAAGCCGTAGTACTCGTAGGTCGGGACCTTGGGCGAGGCCCGCGGCACGGGCTCGAGCTCGTCGGCCGAGGTGTCGGGCGTCGTGGGACGGGACGGGCGCAGGAGGGAGGTGAGAGAGGGCGAGGGGGGGAGTGGTGTTGGGGGGCGGCCGTAGAAGGGCGGCGCGAAGAAGTTGTGGTGGTGCTGGAGGGGCGGGGGCGAGGGGGAGGCGCTGGCTGAGGAGTCGCCGCGGTAATGGGATTGGAAGATGGCATCCTCGTTGTCGCCGTGGTCGTCGTCGTCGTCGTCGTCGTCGTCGTCGTCGTCGAATAAAGAGGACATCGTGGAGTGGAGGTGGGTGGAAGGGGGAGTGCTGATCTTCAAGGTGAGGACAGGATATTTCTAGCTATTGCCACGTGACTGTACTCAATAAACATTTAGGTAGTACATCAGCCTAAGCCTTGGAAAGCTAAACTGCAATGAATGCATGCAGAGGAACATCTTCACCCAATATCTCAACCTCTTTTTCCCAGCGGACTGGTGGAATTGAATGGAGTGATCCGGCAGCTTTTGGCAGAATTGTGGAGTTAGGAATAGCTTCAATTCTCGAGGAACATCTCAACTCGAGCACATTGCGTTCTGTTCAATTCTGCCGAACGTATACACTCAGTGGTGCATCCAAAAGCCTCCAAACGCCTCCTGCATTATGCGTTGAACTTCCTTTCGTTAGTTGGTTATCTGTTCACTCCTCATTTCTGCTTGTTTAAACCTGTTCTCAAGATCCATCTGACTAAATGCTCTGCTCTGCGCTGTGTGATTCTGCTATTTTGTTTGACTCTTGCATTGTTCTTTCTGCACGGATAACAGGTCGAGTCTAGAGGTATACTCTTGGGAGTAGAGGTTTTGTATGTGTGTAGGTGTCAATCTGTTCTTGCCTTGAGCTGGATATACATACTCCAACTCTCTTACTCCGTCAGAAAGGGCTTCCATGCTACCCAGAACCATTGCCCCCTACGCCATCCATCCTCTTCCTCCCTACAGTATTGTTCAGCGTGCCGTCCAATTTTTTTGCCCCGGCTGCCTTCGCCCTCTGTCCCTCCCCCACGTTGGTCCTCAGACAATGGCCTCGTACTCTCCGCTACCAGAGCCCGAGGGGCGGTTCGAGAACAGGTAGTAGGCAACCAAGCCGACGATTGGGAAGAAGAAGACGAAAAGTGACCAGAGGACCTTGTGCAACGGAGGTCGGCTCGACTTGACAATCTCGACTACCGTCCCGAGAGATAGGTTAGAGCTGGGCTTGGGGACTGGTCTGTCTGTGGCCTGTGGCCTGGATTGAGAACGTACGGATCGCAAAGATATCAAAGACCAGGACAAGCAAGCCGATGATCCCTCCTCCGGTACCATACTGCCAGGCATCTCCGTGGCCAGTCGCTACGACCATCTCTTCTGCCATGGCGCACGACAGAAGTGAGAGCTGCAGAAAGATGGAAAGGGCACTTGAGAACATGTTTGCTTGTGGATAGATTGTCTGCGTGCGATATTTTGTTTTATTAACTATTTAGGATATGGATGTGAATATGGATTTGATGGATAGGACAGAATCTGACACGCAGATAGAGACGGAGACGGGTGAGTACTTATTTATGCAGGAGGCCATGGGCAGACATGGGCAGACATGGGCATCGGCATCGGGCATCGGGTCAGCTTGCCTGCGTCTGCGTCTGCTTGTGGCACAGTGCAAAACACCATGACCTGCAGGCTTATCAGTCGCAACACTTAAGCTGCAGTTTCAAGGAAATTAGTGTCTTTGTTCTGCAACTGAGAATTGCAATATTGTTTTCGTCTTGGCAGCACGCCTACGAGTCCTGGGCTCACTCACTACATATTCATCATGTTTGCTATTAATATACCTCCTTACCTGCATGACGCGGAAACCGACTGCTGCTGCAAATGTTAATACTATTGCTTCTTACCGAGACCCCCCTATTTCCTGTTTCTGTTACACCTCCAGTCACTCGGCTTAGGGTTGCAAAAGTAAACAAAGCGGCTTTTTTTCGCGGCAAACAAACTTTAGCTTCCAGCGAGGGCCCCCAGAGGGCAGCCGCGAATTCTTATTTTTACAGCAAAATGCCGGCCGTGGATATAAATCTGCGGCAACTCGTTAGCGATGGCATCCAATGCATGCGATCTCCTTACTCTTCCTCTCCTTCCGGATAAGCCAGCTTCTCGGCTGCTTGCCAATCTGGGTTGCGGGAGTACGACTCGCGGACCGGAGCCAGAATTTGGACGACAGATTCCGAGACGGCGTTCTTGAATGCTTCGTGGGATTGCAGCTGTGTGTATTCCTGCTCAATCTCAAGGTATGTTTGGTAGTGCTTGGTCGTCCCGTCGACACTCATGGTAAACACCGTGCCCGTCGGGCCAGCATATGGCGGCGACTCTGGCACCCCTCTACCCTCAGTCAGACTATAGCCGATCTCTCCCCAAGATCTCTCGAGGCGAAGCCGATTGAGCGGTATCAAGATCAGTCTCACGATGGCCAGCAGTCCATTCGTCTTCGCGTCTCCTTCTCTGCACTGCACGGCCATGATCTTGTTGCGAATCGTCTCTGGAGAATCGAGACAGTCAATTTTGGAATCCGGAAGGGATGCAGACATTTTGCCTCCGTTCAGTCCCGGGAGCATGTCGTTCATCAGATGCGCACGCTTCTTGTACCCCATCTTCGGGAGTAGCTCTTCAGCGAATTCGAATAGGCCTCGCTTGCATATGGTCAGCCTTGATGCAAACGGAAGAACTCTGAAATAGCCTGCCTGGTCGAGCCCGCCAAAGTCAAAATCCGACCCTTGATACTCCTCATCCAGAGCTTGCAAGATGGGCGTAAGCACTGGAGACGAAGTCAGCGCATGTCTTCTAGCTGTGGTATGAGAGCGTACTGGGGCCAAACATGGTGCTCACCCCCACTTCATCTCCTGTCTCCCGTAGCTGACGTTGCGATGACAGGGCAGACAATCTGTACATGTCCATGATGTGCCTGGGAGTGTAAGCGTACGAAGACTGTAAGACACGCGGTAATTAGTGATTGCCTCAATCGGGAAGTCTTGAGGGAAAGGAAGGGCTCAGACATTCCCCCCCCCCCCCCCATTGCGTACCTCGTCCACGAAAGGGAGACTCGAAGCCGGAACTCCAATAGCGTCGAATACGGCTCCCAATACGAACTTGTAGAACCTCTTGCGTTGCTCCACTTGGCTGATCGGGTACTTGAAGTTGATAAGGAAGCCATAGATGTCTAGTCAGCCGTCAGATGTGAAGGTCGAGAGAAGCAAAGAGTAGGTGGCCATCACCTCCCAAACAAACATTGAACTAGATCTTATTAGTCACAGCATTTAGGTTTTTCTCCCTCTTTCTTTCTCTTCTTAGGGGGAGGGGAGCGAGAATCGCAACACCTACATCAACACCCGCTCGGAGAAAGTCCACCATCTTCAACAGCGGCACCACGTATCCCAGATGCGGTCTCCCCGTTGGCACCGTCACTATGCCATCAACAGCTGTCGGATTTTCTCGGGATGGGTTTCTTTTCACCTACCCCAGATCCCCTTGGGACTTCTGCTGCCCTCCGTCAAGATTGCCTGGATCTCGTCGGTGCCTGAGACGGCGGGCAGCCCACGGGTTATGAGACTGAGCCTCTCGCCTGTACTCAATGTCTGGGCCAACATGTTTCCGGGTCAGCCTGATAAGCAACTAGATTCGCTCAAGCTTGACGATTTCAGTCTTCTTGACGGTTTATCTGAAGGATAGATAGGGTCCGGCTGCTAGATGAGTGAGTGCCCACGCTGCTGACTTGGACCACACGGGGTGTCTCGAGCACGGGCAGCTCCCCAACCTGCTGATTGTGAAGGAGGCATTTATTCGAAGTTCGAAATGTCGTGAAACGAGGGGTTGTGTTGTTTTTTTGGCTTCTGATTTCGATGTTTTCTCGTTGCACTGCATATGCATTTCATTCTTTGTTTTACGTAAAGCTTTCCAGCATGGCCATCACTTGCACCTACATCCTGCATCTTATCCTGATTCTGCACAGCTTTTCCAACCCAATCCAATCCAGTCCTGTCAACCATCAATTTCAAGAGCCAATGCAAGCACGAAGCCCTCTGTCCCGTCCGGCGTGGGATGGAATCCTTATCCTGTACGACTATGCTACTACTACAACTACTATTCTACACATCTACCATCCGTTCCTTGACTGCAGACTCTGGCCGCAAGAAGTAGGCGAGGTAGTACCGCTGGGCCTGCCCATCCAGCGGCTGTGTCACCCGGTGGACGGGCGAACGGAAGCGATGCTCTGACAGCTCCTCCAACGCATCGGCCACGTTGACCACGGCGCAGTGCCGTCGAGGCGGGATGAACGCCCACGTCTCGGTCTCGAATTGGCCTGATGAGTGGTTGTTGTTGTTGTTGTTGTTGTTGTTATCGACAGACGGCGGCAGCTGCATCTGCAATCCCCACTCGCGGCAGAACAGCATCGTGAGCGTCCCGCCGTCAGTGTGTCGGTAGTCGCCCACCTCTGCCGCCGTCTCCAGGCTCGGCTCGGCGATGAATTTCAGGCCGCTGGCACTGGGCTGGCCGGACCGATGACAAGCCAGCAGATCGGGGCTAAGCCCGTGGAGCATGGCCAGGCAGAGCCCATCGCAGGCGACGCTGAAGGCATGCACCGCAACCCGCCCTGGCTCCAGGATGGGGGGCAGCGAGAAGTTGTCGGGGTCTGCCGCTATCTCGTCCGAGGAGATCTGGGGGGTTTTCCATGCCCACGTCAGTAACTATGATCATATGCACAGGCATTCGCATAGCACACAGAACAGACCTCGGGACGGGACGGGATGGTAGGGGATGGGATGGGATGGGATACGCAGACACAGACGCATACGCACCTCGAACGACTCATCACACGCGCTGGCCTGGTATCCCAGGTCCTGCGACTGCCCTGGTGGGATGTCGCGCCGCACATCCTGCCGCTTGACCGCGTCGGGTTGGCGGAAATATTCATCGGCCAGGGCGTAGACTGCTTCCAGCTCCCGGAGGACCATTCCCTCGAGGATCCCGGGCTGGCTGCTCGTCAGGTCCAGGTAGAAGAATCCCAGGGTGGTGGCAGCCTGCTGGAGCTGCTGCTGGCCCATGGGCGTCGCAAGGTCGGCGGCGGAAATGGTTGGGAGGAGGGCGACGGGGATGGCCTGACCATTGAGCTGCTGGTAGGTGATCATTGTATTGGTGGGGGGGTTGGTTTGCGGAGAGAGAGAGTGTGTGTGTGTGTGTGTTTGATGGAGAGGGATAAATGGAGGTATGATGAGTGCTTTTTATATGTAAGTGTATGGCTGATTGCTCGCCCGGCTAGCTGCCCCCATCGGTATGATGGGAGAGTAAGCGAATGAGAGAGGGAAATCGAGACATGGCCAGCCAGCATGATTTCCGTCTTTCTTTCCCCGCCCAGTGATCGACCCGGAAGCTGCAGGTGATTGAACTCCAATACGACACGGCTTTTTCGTGATATGGGCGTCGAGTAAGTGCTCGAGCAGTATCGTCGGGGTTTGGCGTTTGCATGCAACTTTGCTCGGATGAATCAACAATAACAACAACAACAACAACAAAAATGGATCAAGAAGGTCCTTCAACCGCCCAAGAATCGCTACCACCGCTGCCATCGCTTCTCGTCCTCGGCCTCAGTCGGACTGCGGGTACCTGTTAGTCAGTCTGCGTTTCTGGAACTCCCTTCTCCTCCATACATACACATACACATTCACATCCATATTCCCACACACACCACCCCACAACACCCTCCCTACCTAAACTAAACTAACTAACCACTCCCCTCTCTTCTTCTCCCCATCAGCCCTCGACGAGGCTCTCAGAATCCTCGGCTATGCAAACATCTACAACATGAACCGGCTCGCTACCGACCGCGCCGCCGACTGCCCCGCTTGGCTGAGGGCGCTGCGCGGGAAGTACGGCGGAGGTGATGGGAAAAAAGATGGGGATGGAAGAGAGCGGTTCGGGAAGGAGGACTGGGAGAGGCTTTTGAGGGGATTTTCTGTGAGTTTTTGAGTCTAAGTTTTTCGTTAGTTGGTTGGTTGGTAAATTGAAATCGTTGAGACGTACCCCCCTCCCCCCCCCCCCTCCATATTGATGTTGATGTATATCATATCATATACTCCCTTCCTGCCTGTTTTCTCCTGTCATCTATCTAACCCTTCGAAAAACAAACGAACAGGTAATCCGCGGTCTCCCCGGCGCAGCCTTCGCCCCCGAACTCATCGCCGCCTTCCCCTCCGCGCGGATCATCCTCACCACCCGCGACGTCGACTCTTGGTATTCGTGAGTCTCCTCTCTTTCCCCTTCCCTTTTCTCCCTCTCCCTCTCCCCTCTCCCCTCTCCCCCACCCTCCATCCATCCCGACTAATCCTTTCCGGGGGACCTCTCCCTTTCCAGATCCTGTCTCCAGACAATCCACTGGCGCGCCCACGATCCCGTCCTGCGCCTCCTCTCCTGGCTCGACGTCGGGCAAGCCAGCCGTCGCTACCAGACGCTGTTCCGCGCCGTGCAGGACGGGCTGTACGGGGGCGACTTTAAGACCAGCGGCCGGGCCGTGTTCGTCGCGCATAATGCGCATGTGAGGAGGCTGGTGAGGCTAAAGCAGGAGGGGGAGGAGAAGCGGTTCCTCGAATTCCGGCCCGGCGACGGATGGCTGCCGCTGTGTGCGTTTCTGGGCAGGGAGGTTCCGGAGGGGCCGTTTCCGCAGGGGAATGGGCCCGAGGCGTTTCGGAGGGAGGCGAGGTGGAGGGATGGGTGGGTGGCGTTGAGGATCGCGGGACGGGCGGTGTTGCTGTTGCTGGCTGTGTTTGGGATGTGGGTGGTGATGTATGTATGGTAGGAAAATATATATATATATATATATATATAAAATTTAATGGGTGAGGGAGGAAGTGGCCCAGTTGAATTTTCCGTGATGGGTTTTGCGGTACGTGGACGATGTGATATATATTACATATTATATATATGCCCTGCAATATCCATCCGCTCAACCCCTCACATCTCAGCAGCAACTCACACAGTGACACTATCTACGCCTCATCACTAAGGAAAAAAGAAAAGAAAAAAACAATAAGAACCGAAACACGTGACGAAGGAAAAGAAAAGAGAATCCAAACGCAAGACGCCATCCTCACTATCATTCCCACCCAGCTTACTTCTGCCACTGATTCCATAACAGTAGCAATCGAGGAGAGAGAGAGAGAGAGGGAGAGAGAGAAACGGCCAAGGAATAGATACAAACACAAAGATAAACGGCAGAAAAAGAATCTCCTGATCCCGTCCACGGAAACTTATTTATTTATGTGTGTTGTAAAAATAATAAATTGATGAACTGCGGACAAAAGCGACAGCCACATAGATAGATTCTCCATCTATATACGGTACCATATGCCATTCGCCTCGCCTCGCTTCGCCTCGCCTCGCTTCGAGATCAGGAGTCAGTTTAGGGGGATTGTCTGTTTGTTTACGTAATCCGTAAACTGCCTCGCTTGGCTTGGCTGAGCTGAGCTTAGCTAGCCGAGCTGAGCTAGCTTTGATGAAAGAACTTGGTTAACAATAAGAATAAGAATAGTTTGGGGTACCCGTATTTGTATCACGCCACGCCACGCCACGCCACGCCAGACGTAAGTTGTGTTACGATGTTTCTAGCTAAGGTAGCTACCGAGATGAGGGGATGGCTCGCTGACGTATTTAATTTGCACGAGTCATCTGCTTCGTTGGTATGTGATGCTGCATTATATCATAATCACCCCTCAAGAAAAACCCCATATCAATAGACGTATATACCGTCCAAGTTTTATAAATTATCATCATTTTTTTTTTTTTATCTTTCCAAAATTAAAATATTATCTATCGTCGTATCTACAATGTAACCCATCATCATATCATCACATTCTTCACTTTGTCTGCATTTTCGCAAAAGAAAAAAGGAAAAGAAAAGAAAATCCCCCCCCCACACCAATCCAAACGAAAGATCCGCTTTCTTTCTTACCAACTGCGCGCTTATGACCCAATCCCGATTGTCAGTATTTTAAAAAATGCCCCTCCAGCTGTTCTGTTATTTCGAGAGGAGGATTCCTTCCCTCCTTCCAGATCCCATCCGTTGTAAGCGGCCGACGTAAATTTTTCCCCCCTTTCGCAAGCTCTCGCTCCTCTGATGCCTGCCTATGCGGATCCCTTTTTAAACAGCGCCAGCAAAGGCTTGACTGGAAATCTCTCCCCGATGCTCTTCCCGCTCCCCTTCCGGACGCGGACGAGATAGTACGCCAGCACGGCGGCGAAGATGTTGAAGAAGATGTAGGCGAAGCCGATGCCGTAGTCGCGCCAGCGCGTCGAGTACGAGATGGAGACGGAGGCGAGGTACTGGTCGGCGACGGTCGAGGCGCAGTACTGGCAGTCCGAGACGGCGTCCGGGTTGTAGACGGCGCCGCCGGTGTCGGCGGCGTACCTGGAGAGGTAGGCGCCGCAGGAGGTCCCGGCGGGGGGCTGCATGATGGCGACTTCGGTGGAGGAGCAGCGGATGGGGCGGCCGGAGAGGCCAGTTGAGGCGACGGCTGAGACGAGATCTGTTTTTTCCTCCATTAGTACTGTGGAGGGCGGGTCTGCGGGGTGGCAGGAGGAGATGGCATGGGATTGCTTACAGGTCAGAGGCGAGACGCGGTACATGAAGATCCAGAAGCCGGGCAGGGCGTTCGGCGGTTGGAAGACACCGTTGAAACTCAAGGTGAGGGAGAACATGAGCGTGGCGATGTTCCCGGCTGTCTCCGAGTCGGGCAGCGCCGCGATCATCATGTGCGCGAAGGTCGACGTGAACACGAAGAACTGGACCAGGAGGAGCAAGACGAGGCCTTGGCGCTCCCCGGAGGGGATGCCCTCTCGAGTGTAGATCGGATAGAAGTAGGATGCCCAGACCATGATACCGAGAATGATCTGATACGGGATTTCGACGACGATGTTGGCGATGAGGAACGTCTTCCAGGAGTAGGCCTTCGATGGACGTTCCCGAACTTCGTACAGGTCACGCTGCAGGATGAAGCGAGGCATGATCTGTTGGACCAGGGTAGTGAAGATGGTGGTGATCATGAAGATGGAGAAGATGGCGTTTTGGAGACCTTGCTGGCTGGGGTCGACGTGGAAGAAGGAGAAACCGATGAATAGTGACGAAGCCACTCCAAGCATGAGCTTAGCGAAGACGTACTCGGGTGTTCGCCAGTATTGCTGGAAGACACGGCTGGTCACTTCCACGAGTTGATCGAAGAACGGCATAGCGAACTCGGAGTGCGATGTGTTGTCATCGCCGCCTGATTCTCTTCCCATCTCGTTCTTGATCCGGGCAAGTTCAGTTTGGACTTGGTTAACTTCCTCGCTGCCCTTCCAGACCTCGTGCCAGTCTTTGGAAGACTTGCCGGAAGCACCAGCTCCGACCATCTTGAGCATGTATTCAGCAGGGTTTTCGTCTTCGCCGCACCTTTCGGCGCCGTGGGATTCAAAATAGTCGAGAAGCGTTTTACTATTGTCCCCAATGTCACCAAAATAAACTGTGCGACCCCCCTTGGCTAGGAAGAGGAGTCGGTCGAATTCCTGAAAGAGAATGGCACTAGGCTGATGAATGGTAGCCAGGACAGCTTGTCCGTTATCCGCGAGCTTTCTTAAGAAAGCAACGATGGCCCAGGATGATTGCGAATCCAGACCCGAGGTAGGTTCGTCTAAGAAGAGCAGGAGAGCCGGCTTTGCCGCTAACTCGACACCGATGGTAAGCAACTTGCGCTGCTCGACATTCAAACCCTCTCCAGGAACACCAACGACAGCCTCTGAAAAGTCCTCCATGTTCAGCATCTTGATGACACCCTCGACGAACTCGTACTTTTCTTTCTTAGACACAGTCTTAGGTTGACGAAGCATAGCCGAGAAGCGCAGGGCTTCGCGAACAGTCGTGGTTTCAAGATGCAAATCTTGCTGCTGGACGTAACCCGTCTTGCGCTGGAAGGAGTTATCCAAAGGCCTTCCCGACACCAGCATATCACCAGTAACGACACCCATAGAGACACGCTGAGCTAGTACGTCGAGCAAGGTCGTCTTTCCTGCACCGGAGACGCCCATCAATGCAGTGAGAGTACCAGGCTTGACCCATCCTGAAACGTTGTCCAATAAACGGCGAGGCTCGCCCTTGATCTTTATATCGTAGCAAACGTCCTTCCAAGTAAAAACATCGGTCTGAGGGGCCAGTGCGACGGCCTCCCTGTCGCTCTCTTTTTCTTTCCGCTCGTCATCTTTTGCGGGACTCTGGACTCCAGTGGAAGGCATAGGAGCTCCTTCATCTTGCCTTGCCGCCTTTTCGGCGGCCTCCAGATGCTGAGGGACGTGGCCACGACGGAACAACAAGACCTCTGCTTTGCTGTCGGTCGAAGCATTGAGCTCGGTTGCTGTAAGGTTTACCGCGAGGAAGAAGATCATGAAGGCAAACATGAAACCGAGATTTCGCCAGATGTGGGAATACGAGTACTCAAACTGAGATTCAACGTAATCGTCTCCTGATACGGTGAGTTGGCCCTGAACGGCTCCCGCAACAGCGCAAATGAATTCGTTGCCGGTGCTGGGGTATCCGGGCCCTGACGGAACGACTTGGGAACATGCGAATCGTCTACCGTGTAGCTCATTGACGAACAGACCTTCAAACTACAGGACAGTCAGATCTCCAATCTCAAGTAACTACGAGGAGTGCCAAATTTAATCATGAAATGGGGGCGAGCAAGTTTCGTGAATGATTAGGATTGAAGATTCCCGAGAAAGCCCCTCAGAGGGGGAGCGAACGCTTGGTGAATACATACTGCATAGGCAACCGGATTGATCCAGGATATCCACTTGAACCATGGGTGCATAAGTGGTCTAGGAATTACGAAGCCAGTGTAGATGACAATGGCCAAAGTAGCGACTCCTGCGATAGCGAGAGCTTGTGAGACCGTCTTGGTACTCGCAGCGATAGACCGGTAGATTTGAGACATCTGGTAGCTCTGTCAGCAAAAATTCGCAATGGGAACTTCGGGAATACCCACCGTCAGGATTACAACGAAGTTAAACAGAAAGAAGATGAAGAACTGGGACGGTTCCCGTCGCAATCCAGCCAAGAAGTACAGGATGATATTGAAGCAGGTGGCAATCATGAACTTGACGGGAATGTCTGCAACTATACCAGCCATGGCCTCAGTGAAAGGGTGATAGAAAGCATAGGAAGCCTGCTTTTCGACGATAGGACGTTGGCTGTACAAAGTGTTGATCTCAGAGATGGCGATGAGGGCGTTGAGGAGGACAGCGAAGAAAAGCACACCACCCTTTTGGAAGAAAGCGGCCGAGTCGTTGCGTGTGCCGTAGAAAAGAGACCCAATGATCAGAGCCATGCCAATCTGTCCCACTATAGTGGTGATAGTCGAGGTCTTGTCGTTCCATAAACGTTGGTAGGCTCTCTGAGTGCAGTACTTGACTTGCATCGGAATGCTGACGGTGTACTTGATCCAAGTTAGCCCTGAATCTCAGTATCGAGACTCACAAACTCCGAAGTTCGGTCAGGGGAGCCAAATATCAAGACGTCAATTACAAAGGGAAAGGGGTGTGCACATACTGGTGACGCGGGTCGGACGTGGTTTGCCTGCATGCCTTTCCGACTAGCAGTAAACTGCTTGAAGGTCTCGTCGCCACCAAATTCGACTTCGTGGTCCTTGGTCTCCTGCTTCAAGGCTTTGTAGTGCGCCGACTCTTTCCAGTATTTCTCGAATTCGTCTGGCGTTTGGGGAACTTTGTTTTGCATGTCCTTGCGTGCTGTGCGTTCCACCGGGTTTGTGACAGAAGTCAGGAAATCGCCCGTCGTTTGGCGAGGAGGACACTCCCAGCCCATATCCAAGAAGTACTGCTTCGCTTCCTCACACGGTCCATAGTAGATTTGTCGCCCCTCGTACAGCACCACGGCCTTATCAAACTCGTCGTAGATGGCTTGCGAGGCCTGGTAGATCGCGACCAGGTGGCATGCTCCACTGAGGTTGGAAGACATGCGGAGTGATCTGGTGAACTCCAAGGCCGTGGCCGCATCCAGACCTCGCGTGGAGTTGTCCCAAGCAGCAATTGGCGATCCCGCGAGTGCCATCTCGGCAATACTGACACGCTTTCTCTCTCCCCCAGAAACACCTCGCACAAAGTCGTTTCCCACCTTGGTGTTGTATGTATGTGAGAGGCCAAAGGTAGCCATGAATACCTTGGCGATGTGTTTGGCCCAAGTCTCGCGATCAAGTCCATCTATTAGTCGCTGCTGTGGTGTCCTGACGCGAGCCGCGAATTCCAAGGTTTCTCCCACTGTAAGATGTGGAAAATGCTTGTCGACTTCCTGATTGTAGACAAGTTCTCCCTTGAACTGTGTGGTCATCTGCTTCTGCGAGATTCCTGCCCAGATGATTTATTTTAGCATCGATCAGAGCAGATTGCCAGTATACGAGACTCGCAGGGGTGGGGGCATATATACATACCATTATAGTGAATCTCTGATTGCTTCTTCATATCCAAACCCGTCAGTTCGCCCATGAGAGTCTTGAGGAGCGTGGAGCACCCTGATCCAGGTCTGCCCAGCACGATGAGCATCTCTCCAGTCTTCAGGCAGCCCTCGAATTCGTTCAAGATCGTCTTCTCTGGGCCCTTTCCAAATACCTCTCCCAATCGAAAAGGTGCAAGGAAGAGTGATCCGACGTTCTTCTGCAGGTTGATTGCCGACCCTGATCCGCATACTTTCAGGTTCTTCCAGACGATACCGGCTCGTCGTTGCACTACATTATTTTGATCCATCAAACTCATTACCCTGAAGTTGTCAAAGTGAGTAAGTTGTGAAATAGGAGCACTGGAGATTAACCCACATTCGAGTCCATTTGTACACATCAAACTCAGCAGACGCCGGATCGAGCACTGGGTCGCCTATCTTGACGCCAGCCAGCGTGTCCTGTCTTTCCATTTGCCCCGTCGCGCCTGTATTCGTCTTGGACAGGGCCCCTCGGCCACTGAATGTCGTTGCAATCCTCTGCAGCTCGATCCGGTCTCCAGGAATGACCGGCTGGAACTGGCGTCGATCCCGAGCCGACCTGGAGGTCTGCACTCGCTCCAGCCTATCCTTCTCGTCAAGATCATCCGTGGAGCTGTCATTGCCGAAGGTCGATGGCCGCTCCACCTCATCGTCGGCGTACCCAGGATAGTCGGTTGTGCTGTTCAAGATGTTCTCTTCGCGGGTTGGCTCGAAACCGTGCTTCTCGTTCTCTGAGACCATTGTTGACATATACTACTCTGGAATGTGTCGTTTTTTCTTTCCCCTTTTTTCTTTCTTGTTTTCGGTGGCGTAGTGAAGTCAAGGAAAGAGGAGCAGGATGACCACTTGCATCCAAACAAGAGTCCAAGGTAGATCTGAAGAGGGCTCTGGCTATGTTTTGTATGCTCCAGATCCAGCTCAGCCCGGAGACAGTTCAGAGGGAGGAGTGGGGAGGTTTTTATTTTGTCTGTCCTGACCTCTAGCTTGACTACTGATCTAGTTAGCCGGGCTCGGCCATTGAGGTCATCCGAGCACGGGCAGACCAGTGGGTAGTAAATACTGAAAGCTTTGACGACGCCGTCCAGAGTTTCGATCGGATCTTTCCAGAAACCCGAGGGCCGATGGCGGGTTTGGGAGAATGTCACGTTATGTCTGAATATACAGATGTGAGTTGTATCTGAGACGCTTGGAGATGTTGATCCGGGAAGGGAATGCGAAACGTGAATGGTGAATAGCAGCTCCCAAACAATATATGAAAAAATCAATAATCTCAGGTTCTGGTTCTGGTTCTGGAATGCTGGGGATTGGCCCCGAGCGGCGTGCGTGAATTCTGATTCAGTTCAGCTGCCAGTGGCGTCGAAGATGGCGTCCTCTCGCTCGGCACTGCCATGACTGGAATTGGCATTGCTGACATGTGAATGCTGACATGAGGCGACAGCAAGGCGCTTGATATGCGTTTGGTGATGTGTTGTAAAGTGAAGTTATATCTGAGATTTATCATTGATCAAGTTATGTATACGAAGTATATGTGTATATATACAGAAGTGGTGGGTGGACCAGGGACTTAGGCGAGCCGACGACGGGTGATCGTCGATAAGATAAGACCGGAGCAGGGGCTGATGGATATGTGTTGATTCATCAATAGATATGGATATGGGTATGGATATAGATATAGATATAGAAATAGATATAGATATATTATTTCACCAGCCCTAGATTATCAGAGTGGTTCGCTTGTCTTCTCTTCCATTGATACTTCGTTTTCTAATTTTCATTCTACTACTCCATGTCAATATAAAGCTCGCTTACGGTAAGCTCCCGCGATAGGCTTCAGTCTTTTCAGGAGATCGAGTCCGGGCAGGTAACCACTGACTGATTCATGTTCTCTTTCATTTTCGTTCTCATCTCATCTCATCTGATCACATCCCATATCACCTCACTCTTACTCTCCCTCTCTCTCACTCTCCCTCTCGGCATTCCCGTTCGCGGACTTCGGCACCCATTGAACTCCGTGCAGCGCTGATCTGATCTGCACTAGGAGTCTTTACTCCGTACGGATTTGCTTGCTTGCATCTCCACAATTGACGAGGATAGAATCAAGACACAAGAGTCAAGAGCAAGCGCTAACAGAGACATGACGTTTATTTCCCGAGGCTTGTTCGTTGTTCGTTGGTCTTTCGTTTACTGCTCGTCGTTCGTCGTTTTTCCACGGCCGAACGAGCTTGCACTCCCTCCCTCACTTACTCACTGCACGAGCGGAGGAGGTCAAGGCCACCGATCCGGGGACAGGAACGGTATGGTTCAAGGCGTCGAGGGCTGGCCCTACGACGAGCCGGAGTGTACGAGCGATGGCCTCTTCCAGCGCCCAGAGTATTACCGAGCTCTTGGGCATCCTAAACGAATCCGATGACTATCATTACTATCCCCCTCTATGAATAAATGTCGGGCCCAGTTCAGCTCTATAAGTCGTAGAGCGGTGATTTCTGAATGGCTTAAAGCCCTGTCAAGCCCATTGCACAGACTAGATGCTGGCTCAAAGACACTTTTCAGGGCTGAATGAATTCTTATACTACAGTTGATCGGTTTAAGACCTGGTTAGATCTCTTGCAAAATATTCCTCTCGACATGTATTCATTTCGGGGGGGGGGGGGGGGGTACCGGTATATGCGCCCCTCGCTTATCTACACATCGCTCGCGGCCCCAACAGCCATGAGCGCATCCGACTCCCTAGTATGAGCAGCAGCAGAAAAGAGGACCTATGAGAAGTGGGAGAGGAGGATGATTGTTAGTCGAAGAAGCGAGGAAAGTCTATATACTTTTTAGTGCCACTAAGAGGTCGTGACGTAATTAAGATGGATGCTTTCTTTTACGAACTTTCTACTTATTCCCTTTTTAATAGAAGATAAGCACCCGTGAATCAATCTCTCTTGTCGGGCTGCTTACCTACACTTAATTTATGTAGTTGTAGTGATGAATTATGTAGCCACGTGGGACTATTCCATACCGATCTGACAGGATTTCTGAGCGTGCTAAGCTTTAATCGCCCGTATTGCATATCTTGTGCTCGGAAAGGGTCGGCCCGGATTAAGTATATTGTACAGCTAAGCCTAAGTCGGCTAAGTATCTTGGCAGCCACTCAACGTATCAGCGGTAATTGGAATCCGGTAAGTCATTCAGTCACGTGGCATCATTTCGGTCATCTACGTACCGCGGCGTGGCAACGCGTTACCGGTATCTGAATACGCGAGCACGCGCTACTATTTTTTATCTTTTTATAAGAACACGTTATTTGTATAGAAGTGCACGCGCCTCTTGTTTTGAATTGAGCTTTTAATAAAGCTAATGAAGCCAATAAAGCCGTCGCCTCGCATCTTGCCAGGCTCTATAGCGCCCGCTTGTCGAATTCGACAGTCAGGAGGATGTCAACAACATGTCATGTAGCGAGACCCGCAGCGCAAATACCAGCACTACCCTATCTGGGTCCGGGTCCCCTCCCTCAATTTCGACCTCGACTGGTCGCTCCTCGATTCTGCGGCCTTCCCGCTCTCGTTTATTAGCCCTTGCAGCGAGAATTTTCCTTCCTGTCCATCTCTACATCCAAGGACGCAAGCGCTTCCAACAGCAGCAGCAGTGATTTCGCGGAGAAGTTCCTCTTCTTCAACAACAATAACAACAACAACGCCTTGCCCTCCCCTCCCCTCGATGCGCATCTTGAAGGCGGGTTTGAGTTTGGCTTTGTGATTGTAATTAGTAATTATATCAGAGCTATATTTGCAACAAAAAGAAGAAGAGGAGGAATCCAAGAAATCTGATCTTTGACTAGCGAGGGCTATTCATCAACTGAATAGCAGGTTTCGTTTACTATCGTGTTAGCTACTAAAGCTGTCCCAACTGCCAGACCGATGAGCGCGTGCATCTACCGCCAACAGCAGTATCTTCTTCGTCCTACTGCTGCAATCCACACGCAACCACCTTCCTGATCCATCTGCTCTTTACCGCCAACTCAGCAGTCGGGAACATTTTTCGTTTCGGGCGGCCCTTGTGATGGGCGATACATACCTATACCCATACCCGTACCCATTTCCATCTCAACATCTACCGTGCTAGTTATTCGCGCATGTAAACCAAGACACCTTGAATCCCTATCCCCATCCCCTATCCTCATCCCCATCCCCCACTCCCTATTTCCACGAACCCCATCCTTCATATAATTTACACCATAAAATCTCCAATCCGATCTCATATCATCTTGTCCAAATACCACCATCAAAAGCCCCCTACAGCGAAATATCGCCATCCATACTATCACCAACCAAAAGAAAGAGGGAAAAGAAAAAGAGAAAAAAAAAAAATTATATATATGTATTAATACATTATAATCTCCCCCCTTTCAAACCCCCCCCCAC